AGAAGGAAGAGTCTGACTCACTTCTGACCAACAAAGAAACATGCTTTAGATAGAAATTCATCCAGATCTGGAGTTCCTCGCGCCCGATACGCAAAACCTGCTTTTCTATTTTTCTCTTTCTGTGAGCGGATCAACAGGTGTGAATAAATCAGGGAAAATAAAGAGATCCATCTTACCAAGTTGCGTTGATGACGACGCCAGAGGCTGGTCAACATCCGCTAAAAAATCCCAACAAAAGCAGGTTTTAGGGGGGAAACTTGGTGGTCACGAGCCGAGGCGTGAGCAGCCGGAGAGGAGCTGCGCGTGCAGGTGGCTCGCGGCCGTCAGCACGCGCGCGCTCAGTCCACAGGAGGCAGGTAACCGGAAGTACGGGGATCATGACTTTCACAATAATCAGAAACGCTGATCCAGGCGCCTTAAAAAGTGCAGACTGGCTAAATATCAGTAAAAAAACAAAACAAAGAGGTTATAAAGTCCTTCAGACCAAAATTATATCAATAATGCAGCACTAACCTATTAAGGATTGAAATGTGTCATTTACCGTTTTAAGAAAAACATGCAAATTTTGAATAAAGTTTTTTTTTTTTAAGTTTGAAAAGTGCTGGAAAAATTAGTGGTACCAAAAGTGAACAGTTTTAACTAATAACGTCGATTAGCAACAGTTAGTGACATTAGTGGGCATAAGAAGAGCACATAAAGAGGCAGAGACCCTCAAAAATAAAGATTTAAAGAGATGCTGCTAAAAAAAAGAGAATGATTGCTGAAAAACCTTTAACTTTTTCAGACTTTAAATTATGTCATCTTGAGAACACCAAATTGGCTGAAAACTAAGATAATCTGGAGACATGTGTGTGATCTCCAGGCAGCTTCATTAAATTCAGGCCTGGTTTTGCGCTTGAATCCCTGCATGTGCTCAGGAACACGTCCAGAAATCTGTCCGCCCAAATGCAGGTTATGGCTCAGTGAAGTGTAAAAGAAAAATGTGAAAACCACCCAATCCTGGTGACTGGAAACCTCCTAACAACATTAGTTAAAAAAAATAATTAAAACCTTTCCGTTTAAATAATTAAGTTATTATAACTGTAATCATATTTCCTTGTCTTGGTTTAGTGATGCAGTGATTTCTAAACGGAAGCCTTCAGCTTTTACTCCCAACAAGCAGACCGGAAATGATAAACTAAGTGTTAGTTGTTATCAACACGAGCCTCACACCCTCTCCTCCGCTTTATTTGATGGAGAACAGGAGGGGCCGAGAGAAAGAAGGGAATAGAAGAGGAGTGGGATTCATTTTTAAAGAGGATTAGCTTCCTAAGCCATCTGTGGCCCTGGACTTACAAGCTTTGTTAACAGCCGTTTATCTCCGACACAAAAGAAGCTCAAACTATTTGAATGAAGGTTTTTTCAATCGTTTTCCTAGAAAATGTGGAACCGAACATGTTGAAAGTCCAACTAACAAAAACGGAAATTAATTAACTAACTACGCTTCATGTTAAATTAAAAAAAAAAAATACTGAGTCATGTTTAATTGGCAGTGGGTTAATTACACAATATTTGACGCTCCACGACTGAATGGTCTCACATCGCAACAACTGACTCACGTCGTACGTATTCGTGTCGTCATCACGTTTACATTAGAGACGTACGCCCCTGCCTCACTTCCGCGTCAGTCTCCATGGCAACTGAGTGTGCTTTAGCCGCTTATCGAGATGGAATCCCTCACAAAGAGTGAAATAACTCAGATAGTCAGACTCCAGGTGGGCAAACATTTATAATATTTGATTTGATGGAAAATATAACCGAAAATACACATTCAAACGTTTCTGAAATACTCTGGAATATTATCTTGTCAAGCTAGCTTGAAGCTTTCCTGAACTGCCCCCGAGTGGCCTTAAAACACTGACAAGTTTAGTATTTAAGGCAAAAAATAACCCTTTGTCTCTTATTTAGTTCTCACAATGAATTATTCAGTATTTTTTTAACCTTTTAGTTTGTTATTCTAAACAGGAGATAAATACTATGCTTTAATTTTCTATATTCAGGTAATTATTAGGGAAAAGACTCATGTTCATAGTTTATAAATGGTTAATTTGACCTCACACATTTGATTTTTTTTCTGACAAATTTGATTTGCTTGTATACTATTTTTTTGTTTCTTCCAAAGAAGGTTTCTCAAAAGGACGAGGTATTACAGAGCAAATATCAGAGGAAAAAATCCACTTTTTCCACACATGTAACTGTTTAAAAGTGCAGAATATCATGAAGAGTTTTGATGTTTTTTTGTGGAAGTTCTACAGGCTCTAATAGTGAAAGCTGATTCAAAACAAATCAGAGAATCTGTGTGATGTTTGGGTTTGCATGTTTGACACCCATCTAACCATTTCTGATTCCTATAAACCAGGAGTCTCAAACTTTGGTCCTGGGGTGCTGCTGTCCTGCAGGAGTGTCCTTATTTTGACAGAATAAACCCCTTCAAACAGGTTGAGATCTTCTAAAGTTCGCCAAAGGAGAACGGAGAAACTCTACACGAGTTATAATTAGGTCATGTTTTATGATCTGTGGCTGGACAGTTCAGATGCTGCCTTTGAGGCCTCACATTAAGGATTCCTACCGATCTGTGTGTGTTTTAGAGAGACGCCGGTGTGCAGAGGCTCAGCCGTCACTTCCTGTGGTCAGAGTTCTCAGACGACAGGCGTCTCTTCCATCAGGAGTTTGTCTTCGACGTCCTGCTGTTCGCTGTGGGCCGCGGCTTCTCCTGGCCGGACGTGGTGCGGGCGGCCGAGCTCGCCAAAGGCCTCTTCCCACAGATGGACGGTCAGCAAACCCAGCAGCCCACGATTTGTATCAACCCGGTTTTTATTTGTCTTTTTACTCAGCAAAATGTGAAGCGTTTTCAATTCTGAGCTCCAAACTGGGTTCCTGACCTCTCAATCTGAGAGTCTCCCTCTGAGTGGCCCATTAAAAGGTCCAATCTGTTGTCTTAACCCTATAATGCCAAATGTATCATATTTGATTCATACGGTTTCTGAAGTCTTTTGGATCTGAGACTTTTTCATCATTCAATGGTAAAAGCTTTGCTCAAACCCCTGTTGTACACATTCAGATATACCTGATAACAGCCAGTAGAAGACTACACCAAAATATATTTTTGACTTATTGTACGCTAATTTGATCAAAATAATTTCTGTTTTTTTCTTCATATGTTGTTGAGGGACCAAAGAACGACTTCAGACTAAAAAAATCCAATGTTCTTCCTATTTAATTTCCTGAGGGAGTCTTCCCAAAGGATCAATAAAGTACAGTCTATGTCTATGTGTATTTTTCTTGGATCAGGCTTTAAAGGGTTAAGGGGCACGAGTTCTTTTTTTCTTTTTTCTCTGCCCCACAGATGTGAGCGTCCACCGGTCTCTGTCCCTGCTGAGAGGCTTCCCAAACCTGACCTCCGTCCACCAGCACGACTTCACGCGTCTCCTCACAGACGGCTGCTTCAGGAGGAGCCGGCTCTTCCAGGCCGTGGCGGGCGGGGCCAAAACCTCCACGGTTCAGATCCAGCTGCAGGTGGACCTGCCGCCCACGCCCTGTCCTCTAAATAAGGTCCGTCTGTTCAATGAGACGCATCATCAAAAACATCCAAGTATCTGCTGGGAACTCACAAAAACATTTCAGAATCAGAATCAGAAATACTTTAACAATCCCAGAGGGAAATTATTTCTGTCACTAACTCCAGAAATAAAACAACACCATATATATATATATATATATATATACATATACACAAAATTCCACACAGAATATAAATAAATATATACATAAGTAACTATATGTATATATATAGGTCTAAAATAAGGGATAATGTCAATAATTTAGTTAGAATTCTGTACTCTCTGAGTACAGATTGATGACCAACGTGAGAGAAAAGGTGAAAACCGTTGATTAAACTCTGTTTTACGCGTTCTCATTCAGTTACTTTGACTGTGATGCTTCCACCTCTGACAAATTGTCTGTTTTGTTTTTTACAAAGTCTGATAATAGCGAGAATGCGTGTTTAAATCTGGGCACAAACCCCAGAAATACCCCGGAGTCCAAACCGGTTCTGTCATCTCCTCTCAAAGCCGTCCCGGTTTTTTCAGGGGACGGACATGGAGCAGTGGGACACCCAAACTGAGCAGGCAGCAGAACTCATCTCCGCCTGGCAGCAGAAGGAAGAAGAGCTGAGGCGTCTCAGAGAAAACCCTCAAGTCTTTCTGGGGGACATCCCCCCCCCGGGGGACAAACAGGTAGCTGTTTTTACCTCTAAAATCAGTGTTTTTCAACCTTTTTTGAGCCAAAGTACATTTTTTCATTGAAAAAATCACGAGGCACACCACCAACCAAAAATGTCAAACAAATCTGTAGCCGCCTATAGTAACACTATAGTTGTTCTTATCTTATCTTAAGTGTCTTCAATAGGAATCAAATAAACACAAAAATATATTTTTATCTTATTTTATATTTCTTTTTCAAATTGCACTTAACATGTCCACTTCAATATGGAAAATTATATACAAAATCTAGTCATAAGGAATTATTACATGATTACTCGACCAGTCACTTGTATAGCACAGACACTAAAAAATGGAATATTATTTGCAGAAAATTAATTCCTTATCAAAAAGTCTTTTTAGACCAATTAGGTGAAATAGATAAGATGACTTTCTACGGCACACCTGACCATCACTCGTGGCACACTAGTGTACCGATGCACAGTGGTTGAAAAACACTGCTCTAAATGAACCCAAATCCACTCTGAGCCTCCGTGGATCGGCTCAGACCCCTGATAGCTGGACGTGTGTGTGGCAGGGTGCTGTGGGGCGGGTTCAGGCTGCAGTCGGGGCCTCTCTGGGCCAGGTGGCGGCCAGCCTGCAGCAGGAGGCCTTCCTGCTCACAGACATCCTGCAGATCAAGCTGCAGCTGGCTGCTCCGGCCACCAGGGGGCAGCACAGCCCATCGCCCACCCAGCCAGCAGCCAAAGCTAAAACCAAAGCCAAAGGAGGACTGAAGGAGTCCGTAAAGGCGGCGTGAGGCAGGACCTCAGTCAGAAAACACAACCTTTGTTTAAGAACCCGGAGCTCCTTCTGAGGACTCATTTGTTGGCTGAATAAATGGAAACCTTCAGCTAATCTCATGAGCCGAGATTCAGAATTCATTCAGATTTTCTCTTGGTTATTTTGTCCACTTTCTATTTAATCTGTTTTCTTTCCATTTCTTCATCATTTCATTGTAACTTTAGCCTTTTGATTTCTATTTTCTCTGCTTATGACAAGTCCAGGACAGCAGTTTAAGAGCCTGTGCACATAACAAGAAGCTCAAAGTCACAAAGAACCTTTTAAAAAGTTTATTTAAAAAAAGAATCATCCTTTTCTTTGACAGGAAAGCATAATAACTCAGATCAACATAAAAAAAATCCACTGTCTTTATTCTAGACAGTCTTAAGCTCTAAGAAATTGGTTTAAATATAAATACCATAAAAAACAGTACTTACAATCTTTATGAATTTTTATCCCTGAAAGCAAAGTTGCAGCAACATGTGGAGTTCCCTGTTTTCGTGACTGAATCAGAGTCAGATGAGGAGGACAGATATAAAAACACCACAGCCTGAGATCTATCAGTGGAAATAAATAAACGTAGCAGGGGTGCCTCAACACTTTCCCCTCGAAGGTAATCTGTAAGACTTGAACAAGACTAAAAGGCTGAAAAAGTCTCTGCAAACGTTCCCTGTTGAATGAAGCTGCTCAGTTGGCTTCTGTCTGACGGGCGTGAGCCAGCATGGTCTGGACCAGTAGGGGGAGGTCGTACTTAGGTTTCCAGCCCCAGTCCCTCTGGGCAGCGCTGTCCTCCAGAGCCGTCGGCCAGCCGTCCGCTGAAACCCAAACGTGAAGGACTCAGTGATGGTCTCAAGTAGGAATGGCCCGATCCGATATTTGTATGAGATCGTCCGATTATATTTGCAAAAAAGACTCCAGATCCAGTTTTAAAAAATGTCTGATCCCACACGAGCATTAGCGTTAGCATTAGCATCTCCTAACCCACAGGTCTGTGTCCTAACCATTAAGTTGTTATCAGAGTAAATCCCTGTTCAACATGAGTCTGACAACTAAGTAAATAGATAAATAACTTCAAACTTTAATACATGGCTGGATTGGGACATCCCGTCTGCTGCAAACCCAAACATAATGGACTTAGTGATGGCCTATCAGAGCATGTATTCAACTTATTCAAGTTATTTATCTACTTACTTAGTTGTCAGACTCATATTGAACAGGAATTTACTCTGATAACAACTAGCCAGCTGAATTAGGTGAGTTTGAATAACACATAATAGTTGGTAAAGAGACACTGACCTGTTTGTTCATGGATAAACACAAAATAGGATAAAATAATCCCAAACAAATTACATTTTTACTGATAGCTTCAAATGAACATGGCCGTCTTAATGGTTAGGACACAGAGCTGTGGGTTAGGAGATGCTAATGCTAATGATTAAGGGTGTGCTGGAAAATGACCAGACCGG